AAAAAGGAATATTTTAAATTGATATACGACCAGAAATAAAATGCTTTTGATAAAAAAAATCTTACTGATTTAACTATAATTATGTAACAATTAATTATACTATTCCGCAGGCAAATCTACGGTTTATATTACCTCGTGTCATTGTATGGTTGCGAACTGTAAATCTAAATTGAGCTTGAAATATTGTGTAATCGGCATTAATTTTTTGTAAAATACTTGGATATGATATAATAAACAATTTGCAGTGAAAATATCAATTTTCGATATTTTGTTGAACGCGTCATATATATATATATATATATATATATATATATATTGTCCGTGTGTTTGTAGGATGTCTAAAAGTATCCGAAATAAAAGTGAAGATGTGACAAAGTGGATTAACGACGCGTTTAGCCGGAGAGCGTTTGCTCTCTTTGGCTTCCTCAGTTTAGAATGAAAGAAAGACAAAACTGCGAGGAAAATGCCTTAGGATCTCTGAGGATCTGTGCGAATCATAAATTAAATTAAATTATATTATAGTTGTGTGCATGTATATAGATGTACAGGTATACATGCTAAAAATGGTATATGATGTGTATATACTTGACTGTATATATGTATGCACAGATATATACATCGGTGAGTTTGTATGTGCACATATTTGTACAAGTATGCATAATTATTTTTTGTAAAAGCCTTTAATAAATGTATATGCATGGGTATGAATATATGTGCAAAATGTGTGTGTGTATGTGTGTACATAACAAAATAATCCCTGATTTCAAATTCAACAATGACAAACGTAACTAATATAGATACAGATATAGATATAGAAAACATCAACAGGCAGAGAGGTACTCTGTTATGAATTTAAGAGGATAAGCTAAGGTAATTTAATCTGATTTATGGCTCCCACTTATCCTCAGAGGTACAAGGCATTTCCACGCATAAGATGAAGATTTCGTGATACAGGTTTTACTGATTAATCCATAGAGAGGACAAGAGATGGATTCGTACCTTTATCAATGGTAGTTCGGCGTTATTATTCATTTTACCACCCTCAGACCCGGTGTTTCAATGTGATTTGTTTGTAAGCGAACCTGGAATTACAAGACTATAAACCTTTTGCATTCTGGTCACTCGTCTCAGAAAAGGAAGATTTTTCATCTTTGGTTAACTAGATGAGCCCAAAATGCAAAGTACAGGGAATACTAAAATCAAGCAGTTACAAACATGTTTAGTATTGGGATGGCCAAAGACGCATTTCGAAAGCTAAGTATAGTAGTAAGAGACATGAAATTTTCTTCGGAAACAAAGAGAACTGAACTGCTACATGATATCTGTCCTCCTGTATAGCAGCGAATATTGGACATTTTCATCAAAGATGAAGAGGAAGCAACAGAAATGTGGTTCTACAGAAGGATGCTGAGGATACCATGTAAGCAACGACGACGATGTTTTGGCGAGAATGGTAACAAAAACGAAACTAATACTTAACACCAGGAAAAAGCAGTTGAAATTTCTGTGTGCCGTAATGAGGAAGGAAGGTTTGGAAAATCGAATACTCACAAGACGAATAGAGGAAAAGAGGGATATAATGGGTTTGTGCAAATAGATGGCAAAACACGGTTTGGGAGAAATATCAATAAGACAAAACAGAATTACCACAGACAGGAAGCTGTGGAAGGCTATGATTGTCTACGTCCTGAAGGAACACGGCACATAAGAAAAAGATTCCGTTTCATTTTCTGGTTTCAGTCGATGAGAAACAGAAATTCAATTGTGATTTTCGTGTACAATTTCATATTTGACTCTTTGATAAATCTCTGGTTCTTTGACAAGGAACTCCTTTTAAAGGATTATTATCCAAAGTGCTTCCTCTTCCAAAGCGAATATTTGAACTCTCGGATAAGGCAGAAATGGAATATGACGAATTCTTAATTATAAAAATATAGAATCCACAGCCGTCAGCGGAAACAATCCATAACGTGCAACTACATACAAGAAATAACAAAAATCAACCAAGTACGAAAATTTGATCATCTGGCCAGCTTATTAATAAACGATGACCTAGGATGATGATGATGATGCATAAAAATAAACAAAAGAGATATAGCCTTCAAGAAAATAAGCAGTATATTGATAGACAATATTCGTTAGAAACAAAGAAATGTGCTTTAAAATTAAATCTCCTATGGAATGATGGACAATCTCCTTGTGTCTTTCAGAGCTTAAGTAAAACAAGAAAAGGTCTCGTCACTCAAGAGCCGCTCAAGGCCGTCTGAATGCTCAAGAGCTGCGGTCGTGTCCGTTTGGCCGCTTAAGGACTGCAGTCGTTGTCGCAACTTGCGCCATTTAAGACTACATCTATTATATGAACTCAAGCAACATAACAAGAATGAAAAAAATGCTGATCCAAAATTAATTGTGAAAAGTTTCTCTTAAAAAACTTCCTTTGCTAGGCTTCTATCTGCACGTCAGGCCCGGCTGAAACCGCCGTTCTAACATAAATAAGTTTTGGGCATCTTTGATATTTATTTCTGATATGATAGTAAATTGTGCAAAAACACGATGTAATGTCTAATCTCTAATATGGCCATTGTTACTGGACAATCACCTTATCGTTAAACGACTTTAGGCGACAGAGAGGTGTTTCTACATTATGCCCTGCGTTAAGAATATTATGGACGGAATATGTGAACATCTACGAGACTTGAAGTAAATGTCGAGCTAAAAGGAACCTTACACATACAGTGCTGTTCGATAAAAGTGACTCACCTGATTTTTTTTACTATGAAACGAAAGTTAAGCTAAATTCAAAGGATAAGCGATCTAAAATCCGAAGAAGAAGCTTAGAAAGCTCTTTGAATTTAGCAGTAAGTACTGTCAAGCATCCGTTCAGTATAATGTTCTGGGGATGCTTTTCTTTTCATCGAAATGGTTTCTTAAAACCTATTAAAAAGACCCTCTGGAGCGAGCAGTACAATAGAATTTTAGAGTCTTGTCTGCTCCATTCTGCTGAAATGGTGCAAATCGACCCCACCAAGCTTATTTTTATGCAGGATAATGCTCCCTGTCCCAAATCAAAATTGATGAAGGAATACTTTGATGAGAAGCAGGTGAGTGTTATGACATGGCCGCCCCAATCTCCTGATCTGAACCCTATAGAAAACTTATGGAGCATTATAAAATACAGGCTCTCGAGAAAGCAGTTGAGCAACAAAGAGGATTTGATTGTGAATTTCATATCCGAATGGAATTCAATGCTTGGAGATGAGATTTGCCAGAACCTAATCAAGTCAATGCCAAAAAGGGTTGAAAAGGTTATTCAAAATAAAGGAGGACCCATAGATTATTAAATATTTCGAACTATATTACCTATTATAAATAAATTATACCTCTATTATTCTTTATTTAAAGCTGTTTGGTTATGTTTCTATTGATTACTAGTTGAAGGAAATAAGTGAGTTACTGTTTTGCACAGAGTTTTTCCCTAAATCTCATTTATATACATTATAATTATCAATAGAATACCTTAGGGTGAGTAAACTTTTTTACTAGGTGGTCGGGAAGGGGTCTTTATATTAGTAAGATTAAAAATTAGTTTGACACCAAAAACAATAGGCGAAAAAACAGGTGAGTCACTTTTATCGTACAGTACTGTGAAATAAGAAATAGAGAGTTGTAATTCTTTAAATATAATGAGGAAAGACGACGTGGAGAAATTACCAAGCGGAAATTGCGATTAACGTACCTAACAGAACAAGGGTAAAAAGAATAGTAAAGAAACAAAAAGTTACTCAGATTAATAAAAGACAGGAAGTCGGGGAGAGCCACGATAGCACATATCCTGAAGGCACATGGTTCATAAAAGAAACATATGAATGGCAGAATAAAGAGAAAGAAATGGTAACGAATCAAAAGTGATTTAGAAAAGAAATTAGGGAGAGTAATGTCCACCCACGCGCTGAAGAGACATCGTACATAGAACAAGTTGAATTATGTGCATGGAGAACTTGGTTAAGAGATAACTCTTTTGGATGCATTCTCGACAAAACCTTTAATTTGTATGGCTACCATTTATAGAATATTGCTGTCAGGTCTGGTCAGGAATACTTTGAGGAAATGGCATTAGAATCTATATCTCTAAAACCAGCTATATGGTTAAGGTACGTAGATGAAACCTGCTAAAAATGGTTGCTGAAGACATTAGGTTTATAATAACCAGAAATTCATACACAGATGTCCTCAAGGACAGTGGATAAAGGCGTTCATTAGATCCAGTGAGAGGACCCAAAGAGTGTGAGTTCAATACCCGGTTAAGGCAGTGGAGAACTTTCAGAGGGAATATTACCAGGAGATAACTGATAACTGACATCCATTAAAGATGGCACGTGGAACTAGAACAGTCTACCCCAGTGAGCGAAATAAAGGGTTCAGTTCGACATTCCAACCACCTGAAGAAGACCAGATCGTACAATAGCCGAAACGTTGTAATAAACATGGCGACAAAGATGAGGACAATAGCCCGAATAATGTAAATAATGTACATAATACCTCATCTCAGAAATATAGACAGATAAACCCTGTATATTTATTAATTTATTGTTTAAACATTATATTCAGTGGATACCCATATTTAGGGAGAGGATCCGTTTTTATTTATTTATCTATTAAACGGTATATTTATTTATTTCCATCTGCTGTACTCAATATTCAAGAAATCGTATTAGAAAATTATAATTAATTACCTAATCCCCGCCTCTTCCATTCTTACAATGTAAAAATCCAAACTTTAAAGACTTCTCAATCATCACAAAGATAATTTTGGTTAAGATAATAACGTTTTAGTGACACACGTCTTATTAATTAGCCCACAGGGAGAGAAGCGGTGACTTTATGAATTTCTTAATGATATTTCAGTGTAAGTGAATATGACAAAGCCAACGGGAATTGGAACTCGGCTCTCTGATTAACCATACCGAGCAATTATGCATTACACCACCCGCACATCCAAG